GATCTTCGTCTGATTTGTTGGTTTGTTATGTGGTCTCGAAGGCTCACGTTCAGCATTGCACGTTCCATGGCTCGTTGTGTAACTCTAAGTTTATTCGCAGATTTTTGCGTGAGTGTTAAAGTCTCTGCTCCATAAGTTTGTACAGGTAAAACACATTGGTTATAAACCTTTCGCTTGAGACACATGGGAATTGAACTTTTTAGAATATGGCTTAATTTGCCAAATGCTGCCCATGTTAGACCTATTCGCCTCTGTATTTCATGTGTTTGATTGTCTCTGCTTATTTTGATTTCGTGTCCCAGATATTTGTAAGTGTCTGTTTGTTGTATGGTATTATTGTCAATAGTTATATTTCCACTCATTACGAGATTTGTTATAATTTTAGTTTTCTCAAAGTTTATCTTTAATCCTGCTCTTTCAGACAGACTTTTAAGCGAATGCATCATAGTAACTGTATCATGTAAGTTATCTGCGATTAATACAACATCATCTGCAAACCTTAGGTGATTTAATCTTTCTCCATCTATATTGATGCCCATATCTTGCCATTGAGTACCCTTAAATATTGACTCTAGAGCTGCCGTGAACAATTTTGGTGAAATATTGTCTCCTTGTCTAACTCCTCGTCCTAAGCTGAATTTTTCTGTGTCTTCGTGCAGTCGTATACTTGATGTAGCGTTCTGATAGATGTTTTTGATTAGTGTCGTGTACCTGTAATCTATTCGGATTTGATTTAGGGCTTCCAGTATTGTTTCAAACTCTACAGAATCAAAAGCCCTCTCGTAATCGACAAATGCAAGAACCAGTGGTATGTTGTACTCGATGCACTTTTCTATTAAGATCTTTATGGTATGCAAATGGTCATTTGTCCCATATCCTGCCCTGAAGCCTGCCTGTTCTTTGGGCTGATAGAAATCAAGTTTAGGTGTTAGCCTCTTTGTTAAGATTTTCATAAAGAGTTTGTACATATGTGTCAAGAGGCTGATGGGTCTATAATTTTCTAATTTAGTAATATCGCCTTTTTTGTGTAACAAGACTATTACTGCATTGTTCCAGTCTTTTGGAATTGTACCCGCATGTAAGCATTTAGTAAACAGTTCGCTTACTGATTTTAATAAAATTTCTCCACCTGCTTTTATTGCCTCGATAACGAGACCATCATCACCAGGCGATCGATGGTTCTTCATTTCCTTTAAAGCTGCTCTTACTTCTGACACAGTAATGGGTAAAAGTATTTCCGATCCCTGATTTATGAGAGTCCTTACTCGTGTCGGGAAATTGTCTTGTGGTCTTTGGCTGGTATAGAGGTCTTTATAAAATTCTCTAGTTATTTTCAGAATGTTTTGTTTATCTGTTGTTGCCTTTCCGTCTTTATCTCTCAGCTTGTATATTTCTTTTTTATTTTGCGTAAGTTTTCTTTTCATTATCTTTAAACCTTTGTTCTCTTCTACTGTTTGAGTAATTACATTAGTATTATATCTTCTTACATCTTTTCTAATTTCCGCTGAAATTCTTTTATTTAGTTTTTTATATTCTTCTCTGTTTCCCTTTTCGTTCTCGCTTAGGTTTCGTCGTATTTCCATGAGAGCCCTTGTATCTTTGCTAATCTTTTCACTTTTGGTGTCATACAACTCAAATTTTGCAAGAAAAATGACACCAAAAGTGACACCAAGATATGTATGTAGTACATAATAAATATTGTGGCATATTTCTTTCATTCTATCCAAAAAATAAAAAAAAAAGTCAGACATATTGAGATGGATTACTGAATACTATTATAGCATACAAGTAGTTTGAGCTACCGGATATTTAAATACATTAAAACTTGGTGTGAACATTTTGGTTAAAAGAATAAATTTGATTTTTATACATGTAGTTGACGTTTCTATCTCCAAATTCTTTTTTAGAGTTCTTTTCTAGACACGTACTAAACAAATTTTGTTTATATTGCAGTTTCTTCTTTTTGTAGATTTAATAGTGATATGAGGATATCAGTTTGCTACATATACATAAAATACAAATAGACTGACTGTTGCAATACAGGTCCGTTTCCTCACTGCGACAGAGAAAACTGGCGAAAAGCAGTCCCTGCATCTCTTTCTAATTTACCAGGTTTATCGAACGCGTGACCTAAATGATCAATGAGAAGGTCACGTGGTCGATAAACCCGTCCCATTAGAAAAAGATACAGATATTGCTTTTCGTCAGTTTTCTCTGTCGCATTGCGGAAACGTGAATGTATGGCAGTATTCAGTCTATTTGTACTATATGTCTATGGTTTGCTACATGCATTTTCGCTTTTATCTTTTATGTGACAAAGTTATCAGCGATATCTAAATAGCTCCAATCCTTCAAAAGTATATGGTTTTATTGTTACATTAATGCTCCATTCTATATCATACCTTTTGTCTGTTAATGAACTTTTATTTGGTTTTCTTGTTATTGACTATAACACCGTTTTTTTTATGCTAAAAGCATTATTCAATATATTATAATGTGTAATTTCTCTGGCTGCTGACGAACAGAAGTTTTTATTAACTTTTCTTTAATATAATTATATATGCAGACTTGTATTTTGATCTTCTCACGGTGCTAAAGAGCAAATGTAATAGTTTATTGTATTTTTCCATAAGATTTCTAGTTTTTCACTGTGTCATGGCTCCTCTTATTTCTTTTCCTACGATTTACATTAATTCATTTATTTTTTCTGAAATTTCAAGTTTATACACAATTTCTTTTTTTCCGCTTATTTATCTAAGATATGTTATTCATCCTTATCTATCTATCTATCTATATAAGGATTTTTACAGCTGTCGCCGCCTTCTTTCTTTCAGCCAACGTCTCCAGTCCTCTCTGTTCTGCCATTCTTCATCTCTAAGGTCTCGTTTTTCCATGGCCTCGTCCACTTCATCCCTCCATGATCTTCGGGGTCTACCTCTTTTTCTCCTTCCTATTGGGCTCCAATCCGAAATCCTTGCTATCCACCTTGTATGATCTGTTCATTCTTATCTATAGATGTGCTTATTCCCTATCAACTATCTATCAATATTTGAAGTCTTTTTTTATTTGTTTTAGTCATTGTAATGATTCGCATCCGTACATAAAAATAGGTCTAAAGCTTGTATTATGCTCTAAACTCCTTCAGTGGTAGTATTACCAACTGCGATTATTGTTCTAAGATATTTAATGTCTTCCATACTTTCGAAATTGAAATTGTTGACTTTAACGTTGTATCTAGATTTACTGACGGTCTCTTATGTTTATGCGCTGGTATTTGGTTTTCACTTCGTTGAGTTTACTTGAAACTTTTTTCGTGCTCTCTGGACTTTGTTCAGTATGTCGTTTACATATTTATAGATGTAATCATCAGCATAACTAGGAGCTGCTTTGTACCTTGGGCCGTTAATGGATTACATCGTAAATCGGCGCTGTTTCTATTTTAATAAATTGTTCTTTAATTTTTTTACTATTTAAATCGAGAATCTGTATTTTATTCGACTGTTTATTAAAGCAGAGTTTCTGGGGGCCAATTTCTTTCTCAAGGTTTTGTTTCCCGTATCAATATTACAACAATTTTGCTGGATGCCGACATAGGAAACCCGTTGGTATGTACATACTGTTTCGATATCTTTTTGTCTCGTTATAAAGTGAATATTAGTTTATTAGGAAATATGATATTGTCTAATAATAGTTAAGTTGTTTTGCTTTGCTTTCTCAGACTGCCACCGTCGTACCTTCTGGTATTTGATATTTCAACCGCCAAGCAACAATTCCTATATGCATTAACTTAATGCTGATATCCTGCTTCCCCAATCCAGTTAGCAGTCCCGAAACCAATAAAATTACTACATTCAAGTTTTCTATTAAGCTGCCCAGAACTATAGGTACGCCTTATTATCTTACTGATGTTAGTGCTGCCCCTTATAAGTGAATAAAATATGAAAGGAAGGTTTTGGTAATTTAATAAGATCCTTGTGTTACAATATAATGTCTCCGAGAAAGTAAAGTAATATCAAAAAGCTATTCGGATTTAATCCATAGCTAAAATATTAGAATGCTATAAAATAATGCTATATATTAGCATTAATAACTTTATAATGGATGAAGTTTGAAAATAATTAGAGCAAGTAATTTAAATTATCAAAGTGCTTATTAAACATAAAAATAAAATAAAATTATATTAACAATTTATATTATAATATATTTAAAAACAGTAGTCAAATATTCTTGGAATTCCTCGATGACTAACCTGGTGGATATTTAAATAAATTTTAAGTTCTAAAATGTACCTGCTCTAAAATTTGAAAATCTACGACTAATACAACTACTGGCAACATCGCAGGAGCTTAGTTGTGTACGCTAAAAGCTGTATACGGATCCCAAAAATGTTTTATCCAGTTACGGAGTCCACTTGATCCGACGTGTTGGTCGGAGTCTACATAAAGCGCTACTCAGATAATAATATACACGGCGTATATTCTCCTGGAGTTAGTATAATACCGTTTTAGTACGGAGCCCATATTAACCGCTAGAAGTATATATATATATATATATATATATATATATATATATATATAAATTGAGTATTTACAGGCTGGAAAATCATTAGGTTTAATAATTGCAATTAGACGGAACCAAACAACATTAGATATAAAAAAAATTGTAACAACAGTAAACTTGGAATAATCATGGAAACATGATTATACTTATAAGGTTCAAAAGGTAATGGAATATACAGAAACCAAAAATGGAGAAATATTAATGAAAGAAAGAACTAAACTCTATATGAAGCTTAAAAAAACATAATAGACAAGTACAAGTAATATATCATGTAAATACAATACTATAAAAAAGATGCTCAGATCACGGCACTTCGCCAAATAGTGACAATTATTTTAAACCCATAAAAACTCACAAAAAAAACTTTTAAAATTAAAATCTGTTACTATATGAAGCTAAACAAATTATTCGCATTTTAATAACAATATTCTATGTTTTAGGGTGATATGGTATTAAAGGAATTGGAGTGCAATAATAAAAGAAATTTGGAGAAAATAGATGAAATATAATTTTGTGCTAGGTTAGAATTTTGTTATCTTCTGTTGTTATTTTTTAAATTATACTATAAGTTTAGTATTTTTCTTTTATTTAATTACCAAAATATCTTCACGTACATACAGATTTAATGACAAATTTAAGTCATCAACCACATATCACACAGATCAAATAAGTTTGGTTGCATCTGCTAAGGATTGTCTTCATCTTTTATCCTACATGGCCTTTTATTAAAGTGAAACTTGGATAATTCACACCTCAAGGGACCGTTAAAAAAATTCGAATTATCCAAAAATTCGAATTATCTAAAAATTCGAATTTAAAATATATCCACAAAAAACAAAGATGCCTACAAAAACATCTACAAACGATAAAAATCAACAATAGTTGACCATTTTTATCACTTGCAGATGTTTTCTGCAGAGATATCGAAATATTTTATCGTTTGCAGAATTATCCAAAAATTCGAATTAAAAATATATCTACAAAAAACAAAGATGCCTACAAAAACATATACAAATGATAAAAATCAACAATTGTTGACCATTTTCATCGCTTGCAGATGTTTTCGTTAGTATTTTTGCCCGAATTTTGTCAACCGAAAAAAATGGGCCAACAAAATTAGGCCACAATACCAATTAAAGCATTTGCAAGCTATAACAAATGGTCAATTATTGTCGATTTTTATGATTTGTAGGTTTTCTCATTGGTATTTTTGGCCAAATCTTAGAAGAAAACTTGTTCAGTGAACTAAAAATAGAATGATTTACATCATTTTTACTTTCAAAGTACCGTTTAAGTTGCGTAATATGGTGTGTTGCTTCGGCCGCACTCGGAACATGTATTTCTCCCGCAACTGATGATGCGTCGTCTTCATCACTCTCTTGTTTTTCATCATTGTACTTAAGCACTTCAGCGATGATCTTTGTATCGGTTGTTTCACCACATACTGCAACATCTTCATCCACGTTGACAAAATCTTCATAAGAGATGGCAGGATCAGAAATGATGGCCCCCCAGCAGTCAACTGAAAGCAGCTCTTCTGTTAAATTGTCGTCTGTATTCTCCTCCTTTTTTATGAAACCAGCTCTTTTGAAACAGTGTTTGACCGTTTCGGGTGTTACTTAGTCCCAAGCTTTCTTACATATTCGAGATGCTTGTAAAATGTCTAACTTTATTTTAAGGGTGTCGCAATCTTCCATCAATATGTTTTCAACCAAAAAACGTCTGTAAAAATGTTTAAAATTTTTTATGACACCCTGGTCTGGAGAACTGAAGTCATGTTAGCAGGAAAAAAAAATTACTTTTACATTTTCCATCAGTGGGATAGTGGTGTGTGCCGTACAATTGTCAAGAAACAAAATAACTTTTCTTTTTTCTTTTATGAACTTTTTGTCTAATTTTTTCAGCCAGTTCTCAGAAAGATCACTAGTCATCCAAGCTCTTGCGCTACTCACATATTCTACTGGTTTTGACTTGACGTTCTTAAAACAACGCGGATTAGCCGACTTTCCAATCATCAGTAAAGGTAGTCTTTCTGATCCGTCCATGTTTGCACCAATTAGGAGAGTTACTCTTTCTTTACTTAGTTTTCCTCCGTGACATTTTTCATTTTTAAATGCTAGTGTTTTGTCAGGAGTGCATTTAAAAAAGAGACCCGTCTCGTCAACATTAAAGATATCTCTTTCATCTATACCCTGAATCATCTCTTTCAATTTTTTTTCCACTGGTTGGCTTCTTGCTGATTAACGGTCCCACTTTCTCCACAAATAGATTTGAAAGAAATTTTGTTGCGTTCTTGCTGCCGTCGAGCCACCCTCTACTCGCCTTAAAATTGTTTTTCTCCATTTCAATAGCAAATTGTTCAGCTTTGCTTCTTATAAGGGACCACTTACGGGAATCTTCTTATCCCTAGCTTGTTTGAACCATTTTAACACACAACTGTCTAAATTTGGATTTTCTGGCTCCCTTAATTTTTTCGATCTTTAAAGCACTCACTTTCACTGTTGAGAATTTTTTCTTTATTCTTCAAGTAGGTGTATAATGTGTTAGGAGGAATTCCAAAGTCCCTGGCAATCTCAGGTTTTTCTTCGTCCCCTTTTCTACTTCTCTAATAGCCGCTATTTTTTTCCGATAACGTTAAAGTTTTGTTTGTATGTTTTCGTATTACCATGCGACGACATCTTTACTTAATACGAAGTGACTTGACGTGATTTTCGGTGATTGCAATTGCTACGCCAACGCATCTCAACTGAAGGGGCGTGCCAGATGGGCTAGAATTTAGGTAACAGGTACGGATACAATGTACAATGGCCTTGAATGCCTTGAAACAAGTGGCACGTTAGAACAGAAAAGAATACTACCTCTTTTAGCGGAAATTTCCAGCATGAAATTGGCATTTTTAACTTGTAGAAAAGTTCGAATTATCCAAAATATAATTTGAATTATCCACGACTTTTTAATATTACTTATATAGGAAATGCTAGGGACCAGATTAAAAATTCGAATTAAAGAAGATTTCGAATTAACGAAGTTCGAATTAAGCAGGTTCTACTGTATTAGGAACTTCACGATACTTCACAAACATAAAAATCTGTAGAAGTATATTGATTATATTGATCGGAATAGTATGATCAATTAATTATTTCTTTTAATAGCAGATGATGAGCACTAATTTATTGTGCAACGTAAGGATCCAGATGACCTACACTCAATGTATGAAGTCATCGGAAAAAATCATAATTAGTATTAAATCAAATAATAGAAAAGATCTTAACAAGGCATTTGACCGGATCAAATTAAAGGACGTTATCCATTTATTGTACGCAAGAGAGATATTTTTAGGGATAATCAAAACGATCGAAAATATCTACCAAAACAACATAATAAAAGTAAAAGTAAAAGAAGAACTAACGGACCCTATTGAAGCTGGCAATATGATAAGATAGGGAGATTCCCTGAGTCCTTTATTGTTCAACTTGATTATGGATGAAATAATAAAAAAAGTAAAAACTAAAAAGGTATACCAAATGGGAGAAAAACAACTTAAAATAATCTGATATGCAGACGACGCAATACTACTCTCTCAAAGTAAAAAATATTTACAACGTCTACTGCACAATGTATGGTTATAACAGCAAATTTACTAAGATGTAAATTGAAGCTGGAAGGTCAGAAAATAGAACAAAAGGTCTAGCTACGGAAAGCTCGAAACTGAAGTGGAAGATCAAGTGAATAGAGCAAACAGAGTGAAATATCGGGATAGAAATGGTCTCTAGACCAATAATGGCATATCCGGCAAAAACACGACCTGGCACATAGAAGACAAGGTTGTTAGAAACAGCAGAGATGAAAACACTTAGAAAAATTGATGGTAAGCACTATGGGACAGAGCTAGAAGTACAGATATAGACGTAGATGCAAGATGGAGAACATCACGAACTGGGTAAGAAATAAAAAAGTAGAATGGAACGATCATATAAGCCGAATGACAACAAATAGAGTAGTAAAGACTTCCTCAATTGGAAGACGATCAGTAGGAAGACTACGAAAACGATCGGTGACATCTTACTGGAGGCACACTGAAAAACAGATAGAGTCATGTCTACATAAAAAGAAGAAGAAGAAGTAAAATGCAATAGCATTAAAAACTTTTTAGATGTAACCGTTAGAATTCTTCCTCTTCTTCTTGTTTACATTAGAATTTTCAATTTTTAAAAAACCTACTCAAACAGATCATATGATACCTACATCATCGAATCAACCTTTTTACCGTAAGATGGCAACTATTCAATGTTATATCCATAGACTTATTAACATTCATGTGTCCCAAAATTATGATAAAGAAATCTCAGTTATTAAACAAATAGCAAACAACAATGGTTCTACTATATCATTATCATCATTATTATTATCACTGGCTCAACAACCCTTTTTGGGTCTTGGCCTGTTCCAGGATTCTTCTCCATTCTGATATGTTTCGTGCTTTTTTTCTCCAGTTTTTTATTTTTAAGGTTGTTATATCACTTTCTATTTGTTCTAAGTATCTCAGCTTCGGTCTTCCTCTTGTTCTTTTTCCTACTGGCATCTGTTTGAATATTTTGTTTGGTATTTCGCCTTCTTCCATTCTTTCTACATGTCCTATCCAACGCAGCCGTCCTATTTTAATGAATGTTATAATATCCGGATCCTGGTATATTTTGTATAGTTCAAAGTTGTATCTTCTTCGCCATATTCCGTTTTCTTTTGTGCCCTTATATATGTGTCGCAAGACTTTTCGTTCGAAGGTGTCTAACAACGTTTCCTCTCTTTTAATAAGTGTCCAGGTTTCTGAGCCGTATGTGAGTACCGGTCTAATTAATTTTTTATATATTTGGCATTTTGTTTTTCTTGCGACGTTATCTGATCTTAGTTGCCTAATTAAGCCATGGAACATTTATTGGCAATAAATATTCGCCTCTTCACTTCCTTCGCAACGTTATTATCAGACGTGACTAGGGATCCCAAGTATATAACGTTTTTTACCCCCTCAATGTTGTATTCTCCTATTGTTATATTTTGTGGCTGCCTTATTCCTGCGTTTTTACTTACCTGCATATATTTTGTTTTGGTCTGATTGATTTTAAGACCACTATTTTGTGCAGCTTGTTCTATTTGGTTGTATGCCTCTATCATTTCTCTTCTTGATCTTGCGATTATACCAACATCACCTGCAAATGCTAGTATTTGCACGCTTTTAATAATGATTGTTTCTCGAGTATTGACTGTTGTGTCCCTCAGTACTTTCTCGAGTACGATGTTGAACAAGATGCATGATAGAGCGTCTCCCTGGCGTAGTCTCTTTTTCACATCTCTTGTTTTCGTTAATTCATTTTGTATCCGGATTTTACTTTCCACTTTTAGAGATTCTTTTATCACTTCTATTAGTTGTGTTGGTATATTAAATTCTTTCTTTTATTAAGAATTAAGAATTCTCGGTATATATTGTCATGTGCGCTTTCAAAGTCTATAAAGAGATGATGTTTGT